GTAGATACGTTCCCACAGCCGCATGCTACGTTCCCGTGATCGCCATGCCCTTGTCCTTTTCTTCTTCGCCCTTTGTTCCCCCTTTGTCATCTTCACTGCCTCGCTCTCGCGCCTTGTCCTTGGTTGCTAAGCAGCCCCTCTAGTATATAAGGACCCCCCTAGGCGCTCCCTAGTCCCCATCTCGACCTCTTGGTCATTGGGACTAGGTGAGTGACCATAGCGTTGTATCTCTCTTTGATTGCTAATGTATAACTTGGTCATTGGGACTAGTCTGTCGCTGCCTGCGTGAAGACTAGCTTTCGTAGGTCTCGTGCCTTCGTGCCGACCTCCGCTCTGCCCTCGTCGAGTTTTCTGTCACGTTTATCCCTCTCCCTCTCTCTTTCCCCTTTCGGCTCCTTGCCGCTCGCCTACGGGGTCGTCGCCGAACGTCGACCCGAGTCTACGCGCCTAGTCGCCGCGACAAAACCCTAACACCCTAACCCTAAACCCAAACCCTAACCAAACCTAACCGAACCCAAACCCAAACCCTAACGGTTCTAACCGGAGGGGACGGAAGCGTCACGTGGGTGGGGGAAGGGAGGGCTGAGCCCCTCATGGGCTATTTGCCGATGGAGACACTACCCTCGTTGTAGTCTCTACAAGCTCTGTATCTTATCGGAGGCAAGGCGCTGTGGACGAAGGAGCTCGAGGTCGCACTGAAGGAGAACACGGTGGACATGCTCGTGCACTGCTGCAAGGACGTGCCCACGGTCTTGCCGGATGGGTGTGAGATCGCTGGGGTGCTTGAGCGCGAGGATCCGGTTGATTCGTTTATCGTGCGGACGGGGGAGAACTGGAAGACGTTGGAGGACTTGCCCGAGGGGAGTGTGGTCGGCACGGGCAGTGCGCGGCGGGTCGCGCAGTTAAAGAGGAAGTTCCCGAAGTTGGTGTTCAAGGATGTCGTGAGTCTCACAGCTTCCTACAATGCTTCTTTCAATGCTCATAGTATTCGCATTTATGCCTGTCGCTAGCGAGGCAATGTGTGAGTTTTGAGCGTTCGACGCGATGCTACTTTTTTCCATCAGCTTCGTGCGATACATGTATGTAGAGCCCTAGGCGTGGGCACGAGGGCACGCTCTCTCCTCTGTATCAATCTTGTTCCTTGTCTGACTCCCCTGCCGTCTGCAGGGACACGCGCTTGGTGAAGCTCGACGCCCCCGACTCCCCCTACGTAGCTATCATACTCGCCAAGGCAGGCATGGTCCGCCTAGGCCGGGGCGAACGCATCACGTCCGACCTTGGCCCCCCGACGCTCCTGCACGCCGTCTCCCAGGGTGCACTTGCAATCGAGATCTGCGCCGACGACGAACACGCGCGCGCCCTCTGCTGCTCCATCACACACTGGCCAACAGAGTGGAGGTGCCGCGCGGAGCGTGCACTCCTTCGTGTGATGCAGTGTGCCTGTTGGCATGCATACGAGCCTTGTTAACGAGACCCCAGCAGCGGGGACAGGGAGGGCGAGCACCAGGCGAGGTTGTCGATCACGGGAAGCGTGACGAGCCTGCAGGGCGATCGGCACGTCGAACACTCGATTCAAGCAGAGGTGAGGAGCGTCGAGGAGGCGGAAGCGGTCGGGGCTCGGCTTGCGAAGGTGCTCATTGACACGGGTGTGAAGGAGATTCTAGATGAGATCAGCGAGGTTAGGGAGAAGATCGAGCTTGCGAAGACGACTGAAATTTGGCACGTAGAAAAGAAGTTGCGGCACGCTGTGAATATAGAGGTATCTCCATGTTCTCTGACTGCCCATTTCTTGGAACGTGTACGTGCGGTGACAAAGTTGATCGCAACCCAGAACGAGCTAGTGTACAGCCTCAGCTGGCACGTCTACGCCTCTGGGCTAGGACAATTGGATCCACATGAGCTCGAGGAGCACGGCACTGGATGTAATATGTTGCAAATATCGCCTGGACCAACTGACCACGCGCCTATATTAGGTTATAGGGTGAATTCGAGCTACCACACTGCTGGTGGCTACGTTCAGCATCCTTGGCACGAGGAGGATAGTACCCGGATACTCGTGCTCATCGCCTTCCCGGAGCACAATATGTGGCGTGCCTCGAGGCGCACTTCATCGACTTCGTGCCAATCATCTTCGTCCTCAGCATGAACTATACGTCCTTGTGGAAGCACGAGCCTCTCAATCTCCTACCCCCCAGTATTTACGGCTGTTTATCAATGGACTAAAGCTATCGGCCTGTCTTCATCGGCCTATGAAGATACGCATGTGGTTTGGTACGTGGTTATCGAACGTTCCGGTCGAACCATAGAGGCTGATATGGCACGCGTTAGAAAGCCAAGCATATCATGGGATCTTAGGGTTCTGTCTACGGGAGCTTACCGCGGGTGTGCTGATTCTATACTTCCGTCGAGCAAAACCAATACTCATGAAATCAGTCTTGAATAGATGCCCGAACAGAAGTGCCTACTGTTAGATGCACACTACCTTGTACATGAAGTTCAAGTCGGTCAAGAACTCCCATATTGACAGATATCTCAGTGTCAATCATGATTATCGCCCTGACACAGACGCCCTGTATGGAGGGGACGTTGGAAGTAACCTCTACTATATGTCATTACGGCATTGATCTATCGGAAGGCATCCGTGGAGGCGCGTGTCGCAGGAGGATAAAGAGATGCCACCCAATGTGAGCCTTCCCTGCATTCCTACAGCCTCATGGCCTCTTGTCACAGTTTTCTCGTGCCACGTGACCTGAGGGTCATGTGTACTGGGACAGACGCTCACCTTGACCACGGGCAACTCGTATCGGAAAGTGGAGGGGCCAGGATCGAACCCCAGACCTCGTGACGGCCAGGAGCGCCCATCCTCACTCACAGGCAGGTGACTGATGTGACAGCAGGAGCGCTTACTCATTGGGAGGGGTCCGGACTCGGCACGACTCAGGTATTAGTCGTAAGGTCACCATGAGGCAGGTCAGAGGGTAGGCCATGAGGCAGAGAACTCTGACCAAACGATGGTCAATAGGTACCTGGTCTGTGCACCATTGTATTAGTATATATAGTAGGGAGTCTGAGGCAGGGAACCTCAGACTTGATCTTCTCGTCGATCACCCATCTCTCCTGTAGGTAGCTAGCAGCCCTACCTCTCACT